TTTTCATTACACATTCTAATTTATTATTTCTAAGGTTGAGAGTAATTTAATTTCATAGGTAGCTAAGGGCAATAATGTAATTCTAGGAACAATCTTGTACTGTAAATTAAAACGCTGTAAGTGTATCGATAGGTAGGTTAATTATAAGTTTTACATTATTATTATTAGGTTGGAGCCCAAGGCATTACGTAGGTGGTGGGGTGGGCGCCGATTGGCTAAATGAATTGGGCTCTTGAGTTTTGTAATTTTAAGTAAGCTAGGACCGTAATGTAATGAATAGGTAAGTTAAGGCTACGTTGTAACACATACTCATTAATAGATTTAGGGTTTAAGTTTTATATTATTATTATTATTAAGTTGGAGCCCAAGGCATTACGTAGGTGGTGGGGTGGGTGCCAATTGGCTAAATGAATTGGGCTCTTGAGTTTTGTAATTTTAAGTAAGCTAGGGCTTAATTGTAATAAATAGGTAAGTTGAGGGTACGATAGCCGATTGACTCTGGATTTCAAAGTCTCTTGCCAGAGGTAAGCCTTGGTGGCCAGTGGTGAACCGGCAATGGTTTACTATCCGGACGGCAATGGTTTACTATCTGCACGGTAATGATTTACTATGCGGCACGGCCATAGTCTACTACCCGCACGGCTTCCGGACGGCAAATGGTTTACTATCCGCACGGCAATAGTCTATTATCCGCACGGCAATGGTTTACTATCCGGTGCCCTGGCTGTCGGTGAACCTCTGTGCAAGGAGGGAGAATGAAGGGGGACTTTCGACTATCGTACCATTAATTCATAGATTAGTTAAGGTAATTGAATAGGTAGATAGGATTATTCTTATTAAGTAATTTGAGACGCAGGCACCGCTAAGCTTTCTGATGAGAATCTTCTCTATCTTTCTCCATCAACACGGGCTATGTTTCAACAACAATCTCGAGGAGGACTGGCACCAGTTTTGGAGGACAACGTAGGAACCGGACCACATTCAACATTCTGCCTTTGTCGAATGGACAACGGTAAGTTTTTTTTTACATTTTACTCTCTTTATTATTTTAAAATACTATTTTGCCATTATTTTCATTTTATAATTTTTTGCTTCTAAGATTCTAACATTCATTTACTACTACGCTAATAAAAAAATTTATCTACAGAATGATGAGAGGTGGGCAGAGGTGGGAGTCAGCACGTTTCAGATGGTGGTCTCATGATGATTTACGTATGATGATGGTGGTGTAGGAAGAATCAGCTCGTTCGCCGTTCGACTGACACTCTTCAGTTCGGATGAAATCTTGTGTGCCGACCAGATGATGGTGGTCGGTACAATGGAGTTCAGTAACGACGATTTTTGAAGTAAGGTTTAATTTCATCTTTTAATTTTTCTCCATTCATTCATTCATTTAATCATTATAATTTTTTCTTCTGAGATTCTAACATTCATTTACTACTACGCTAATAAAAAAATTTGTCTACAGAATGATGAGAGGTGGGTTGTGGTGGGCGTCAGCACGTTTCAGACGGTGGTCTCATGATGATCGTTCCGATGATAATTCGAAGATGACAATAAGAAGTGTCTGGAGAGTACATGCGCGCACATTTACACACATACATCAATACAACACACACATATACAACATCCATTCATTCGGTGTCGTTGTTGTTATGTTTCTCTTCAACTATCTATTTTCTTTACCGGACTTAATTTAATTCATAGGTAAGTTAGGGATTGAGATGAGTTGAACAATCGTAGGTAGGCTAGGGCTTAACATTAGTTAAAAAGTTACAAGTAAAATAAAAACGCTAAAATGTGTTAAAATACCTGAAACGTGTAAAATTCCTAAAACGTAGAAATACAAATTTGTAGGTAGGTGAGTTGAGTTAATGATTATAAGTAAGCTAGGGCCCTGAGAGTAATTTAATTGTAGGTAGGTGACTGACTACTATTCTTGCGACTTCTTACTAGTTTAGTGTGATGTATTTGTTTGTTTTCGCTTCCCAACACCACACCAACATAACAAACTACGTTTCATTCTCGTCGTCGCCTTAAATTTCACCTTTTTGAACAATCTTTTTAATGATGTCTACTTATTTATTAAATGTTGACTGGTTTCTATTTTTTTAAATTTGGTTATATAATTTTTGGATATTTCTGATTTATTTTGTATTTATGTATGTATAAATAATTTCTGTTTTGTATTTTGATTTAGCCATTATGTTATGCTGAGAACTGTCCTTACTAAATGTTCATGTTGCGTGAATCATTCTCCGAGAACTACTAAGGAGTGTGTATAATAATAATGGATAATATTTATTTTTCATTGGTCGATATTTTGTTATATTTGTTTGTTTAAAATACGAATTTTTTAAAAAATTGACGTTTTTAAAATTTTATTAACCGTCACTTTTCATTTTTGAATGAT